GCTCTAGTGGAAGGTGTCCCTGCCTGTGGCAGGGGCTGGAACTGGATGAGCTTTAAGGTCCCTTCCAACACAAACTATCCTGTGTTCTATGATCTTGTGCCCTTCAGATGGTGAACAGCCACGTGCTAAACCAGTTGCTCCACTGCAGAGGGGAACAGGTATTAAGTTGAGTACTGGGGGCAGAGGTCTTGCTCTTGTGCCCTCTCCCTATACCCTACCACAGTTTCTCAACCCATGGTGCGTGGCAGGCTCATGATCACAAGAACTTTGTCCCTGAAATGAGTGCAGTGTGTTTTTAAAAGTAATAATTAAATGTATGTTCCCTTGTAGGCTTTGGGGTGTTTGGGGAGGGGGGAGTTAAAAACATCAAGTTTAGACCAATCTTATCTGGCCATTTGGCAACACTGCACAAGTACATGGGTGATCTTGTTCCATTAGGCAGGTTGTTTGGTGGTTTAAAAGCAGCACAGGAAAAGGCCTGCTCTTGACCTCTCTGTGCTGTACATAAGCTCTTTGTGTGCTGATCTCTCTGCATATAGTTCTGCTCCAAGCTTCAGGTGGTCACCTGAGCCACACTGATTTGGTGTGGCATTTAAAACTCACTGCAACCACCTTCCCACCTCACCAGCCAGCCACTCTGACCCATTTCCTCAGTTGGCCTTAATCTCCAATGGAAAAGGAAACTTAGAGGCTGGTCAGTCTTGCCCCACTGAAAAGTCAGGAGCTGTGACATAACACTTGTCCCATCAACTGTTGGCACCATAGTGTCACACAGATATGAATGTGCCGTCAAAAGTTGTTCAGGTAGAGAAGTGCCCAGCTGGCTTTATTATGTGAGCAGTGAGAGCCAGCATGTGGGCAAGCAGTGGTGAGTTTGGGAAGGGTGAATAGATAGAAACCAGCTCCACATTCCCCAGAGCCAGTGGGCAGTCCTCTTGCATTGATTGTTGGTGTGGGTTGGTCCCCCTGAGCAAGAAGAGGCAATGCTGGGAAGTTGGGATGTACTGAATTGCTGCTTTTCCTTCCTCCCACGTGCTTCCACAGGGCTAGCAGCAATAGCATCACTTGGATGAGAGAAAAAATGTCCCTTTTGGGGACCTCTCACCCTAACCTACCAACTCAGCTGGGTAAGATGAGCACCAGGCCACCTGCTGAAGTGCTGCTTGTTGGATCACAGCGAGCTCCTGACTTGGATGAGAAGGATGTAGGAGTGCAGAGAGATTTCCACTGCTGCAGGACAGTGTTGTGCAGATGGAGCTGTGGAAGGAGCGAGTAGGAAGTCTCCAGCCCAAGATTTTGATCCCTCTTATCTCCAAGTTTTGAGTCCATTTTGGCTGAACGGAAGATGAGCAACCTGCTCTAGTGGAAGGTGTCCCTGCCCATGACAGGAGGGTTGAAACTGGATGAGCCTTAAGGTCTCTTCCAACCCAAACCATTCTGTGGTTCCATGGAGTCTTTACCAAAGTAGGGAACCTGACTACAGGACAAGAGGTGCCCTGGGAGTCCTCTGTGTTCCCCAAGTTATCCTGGGGCTCTTGCTCTCAGGGAGAAACTGTGCTGGCAAAGCAGCTCATGACAGCAGGTTGGTTCTCAAGTGCTTTCAAGCCATTTCTTGGGAGCCTTAGTCTGGAGTTGTCCAAGAGTTGGTCCCTCGCTACAAGACAGACATTGAGGTGCTGGAGCGGGGCCAGAGAAGGGCACTGGAGCTGGTGCAGGGCCTGGAGCACAAGTGTGATGGGGAAGGGCTGAGGGACCTGGGGGGTTCAGTCTGGAGAAGAGAAAGTTCAGGGGGGACCTGATGGCTCCCTGCAACTGCCTGACAGGAGGATGGAGCCAGGAGGGGCTGGGCTCTGCTCCCAAGGAACAAGGGATGGGACAAGAGAAAACGGCCTCAAGCTGCACCAGGGCAGGTTTAGATGGAGCTGAGGAACAGTTCCTTCCCCAGAGGGTGCTCAGGCATCGGAACAGGCTGCCCAGGGCAGGGCTGGAGTCACTGTCCCTGCAAGTGGTTCTTAGACGCACCAAAGTCTGCAATTCCTCCCTATTTCTGCTCTGTTTTTTCTCACCGGGTGTGTTCAGCTGTCACCCAGCCACAGGACTTGATCCTCAGCTACAGGTCAAGGCCCTTGATGTTCAGCCCCATCCATGGTTGATGTGCAAGCACAGTAAGAGAACTTCATCTCACCCTGGAGCACATGATGCTGCTGGAGCTTTATGCATGTCCCTGTGTTTGCAGCACCAGGCAGATTGACAGCCTTTCAGTGAGCTGATTTTTATTTAGAACTACTATTCAAAGGTTTTTGTCCACCCAAGGACTCATTTCTGCAGAGCTGTTGCTGAAATACCAGCCTGTTTGAAGGTCAGCATCTGCATATTGGCCTCAGCATCTTCCAGTGTCAGAACAGGTGCTTCCCTCTCTGGTGTGTAACCCCTTTGTGGATGTATAGGGGTTTTTACCCTGTTATCACCCCAGGGCAGTTTGTCCATATAGATTTTAGGCAGTCTTGCTTTCTACCTTTGAAACCAACCCTGGAGCTCAGTGCCTCTATGGAAAGGGTGGACTGCAGCCACTCTGCTGCTCAGATTCCTCCTGAGCTTTGACTTTTCCGCAGTTCAGTGTGAACATTGGGTTTAAATGTTAAATTAAGGGTTTACAACCAGTCCTGCAGCCAGACTCACGACTGCTGAGGCTGTGACCTTGACTCCGTGCTTCAGGCCATGGTGAGAGCCCAAAATCAAGCGCCTGTCCTTTGGCACCCGTTATGGACCCCTCGCCTTGAGTTGTGCACAGTGTGTTAACTGGGGTGTGCTGTGTTCATGACTGGCAGTAAACCTGCTCCGGTGTTTATGCTGGCTTGGGAGTGCTGGTTTTCCTTACTCCTGGCTTCCTCTTTAAATTGGAGTTTCATTTTGACATGGATGTTTGTGCTGCTTTGTCTTTTGTGGGTGTAAAGCTACATAACAGAGCAAGCTGGGATTACTGGAGCGATGTTGGCGCCTTACTGCTGCAGGAAGCTTTACACTTCAAATACAGGAGGAGATAATGGTTTGGGCTTATTTCTAGGTCAGGAAAAAGAAAGATATGAACAGGAACATAGCTGCTTTTGGCCTGGGCAGTTTATATCTGTAGGAGAATGAGATTGGGAGGACCTTGAAGAGTTGCAAGGTGTAACAACCTATGAAGTAGGGAGTATAGGGAGAGGATGTTTGTGTTCTTTCTTGAAGAACAACTGTTTCTCACTGTCATTGGTCTTAAGCTTTCCAAATGAAAGAAGGGATTGTGCCTTGCTTGGGTGGATGCAAAGATCACGGAGAGAGAATTACAGATCTCTAGCACAGGAGCTGCTCAAGCAGACAACATAATCTCTTCTCCATGGGTATGGAGCGCAGCTTAAATGCCAAAGTGTGTGAAGGAGGAGTTGACCCAGACCTTACAGGTGGGTTTCCAGCACAGCTGCAGGTGACTGTGGTAGAGGATACTGAGAAATAGGTGAGATGATCACAAACCCAAAATGAGAGAAGGCAGAGAAATGCCTGTGTCTGGCTGGATTAAAGACAGACACTCTGTGTTCCAGATTACCAGATCAGAGTGTGTTTAATTCATCAGGTCTACACATTACCATCCTATTCTTGTTACTTGGTGTCTTCCCCCATCCTCTCTTCTGTTCTGCTTTAGCAGAAGCTTAACTTTTCCTTCCTGTTTTCTCCCCTAAGAGACAGCCAGGATTTAGAATCGGGATCAGTGCTCTCTGCAGCTCTCCAGTGCCAGCATAATGGATCCATGACCTGATTTAAACTTGTGAGAGCTGCCATAATGTAAATATTTGATGGAACTTCCTTTTTTGAGCCTGCTTCAGTGTTTCAAGCTGAATGATGGCAGGGTAAAAAGATACTTGTTAGCATGGGTTTATTTATGCAGGTTTTGGTGGCTCCTGTAGAGATTGTTCTGGCTTCGGGCAGCGTTTCAGCCCTCTGTTGTATTTATGCAAAACCCAAGCAGAACAAGTAAACATGGAATGATATTTGTGTCATAATACGTGGAAAGAAAGGGAGTTAAATCCATATGTCAGCTCTTACCCCAGATGGGAACCATGCTGTTCCTCAAATCACGATTGCTGCTTGTTTGGGCAGAGATGGTGCATCAGTGCTAGTGCCATGTCTCGTCTGGAATGGCTGGATAAAGGAAGGGGGTTTCCTGGATGACACACAGGGATGTATTTCTTCTGGAGAGATTTCTGTGTGGTTTTGAGTCCTGGAAGGAGCTTTGGAAATGGATTGAGTCAATACCCAGACCTAAATTTCTCACCCATTTATATAAACATGGACCTTTGTGAGAAGAAATCGTTGCTGTTGGCTTAAGTAGATTATTCCTTGTTGCAGGAAGGTACAGTTCCCACGTGGACAATGTCTGTAGGGCTTTACAGGCTGCAGAATGGAGGTACAACAGAGGAAAGAAGGTTTTATTTTTAAGTTCTGGATCTGGAAGCAGCTGAACCTGGTGCTGATCCAAGGCTGCTGCAGCCCTTCTGGGCAGAGCCCAAATGATTTGGCCAAGCCAACAGAAGTGTAGGAATACTCCATCCGTTTGACAGTGAAATAACTGGAAAAGCCAGTTTTCCATCCCTACTGCATGTCAGTTGTGCATTGGGGATGTGTCCTGCACCCAGCTATTTATGTTCCTCCTACTGAAAGGAAAGGGAAGAGTTTGGAAGCCGGATTCTGCATCATCTGAAACACTGAGCTTTGCTTTTGGGGTTTATATGCTTTACCTCTACATGGACTGTGGTGCCAAGTGTGGTGTGTTATAACTCCTTGAGTATCTTTGTTTTATAAGCTCTGTTTGTGGGAGAAGAGGGGAGTGTTTTTGGGGTTCCATACTTGAACTTGAGGTTTAAGTAGGCAGCTGGAAGACACAGGTTATCACTAGCTGCTGTTATCAGATACAGTCCTTCAGGTGTGAGGCATCTTCTGCCCTGATGTTGTCCATCTTGAAACCACAGGATTTATTTAACAACTTAATTTGCAAGTCAGAACAGAGAAAGCACTGTCAAATCTGCAAGTCTGAAATGTGGACAAAGCCATGGAGAGCTCTCTTGTTGTAGACCTTGCAACTGAGCTATTTTGTAGGAGACCAGAGGTACCAACTGATGAATTTATTGCTGTATTGATGCAAAACTTGAAGTATTCATTCTCTGCTCCTGGGTGGGTCTCTGCTCCCAAGGAGCAAGGGACAGGACAAGAAGAAATGGCCTCAAGCTGCACCAGGGCAGGTTTAGATGGAGCTGAGGAGCAATTTCTTCCCCAAAGGGTGCTCAGGCATTGGAACAGGCTGCCCAGGGCAGGGCTGGAGTCACCGTCCCTGCAAGCGTTCACACACCATGGAGACGAGGCATTTAGTGCAGTGCTGGGAGCGGTTGGACTGGATGGGCTTAAAGGACTTTTCCAGCCTGGTTGATTCCATGATTCTATGATCAATGGTGCAACTTCAAGTTCATAGAAAGTCTTTGTCGGGAGATATTATCAACCCTTTCATCTTAAAGCAAATATTAAACTTCAGTTTGTGTGCAGTGTTTGTTCATAAGATCCTTACAGCTTTTAAGAACACTTCCTTGGATGTGGCTGCTCCATTGTGCTGATGGGCAGCTCTTTTCAAGGTAATGCTGAACCACAACGCCTTTGTGGTGCTGCTGCACTGGAAGCAGAGGGTTCTGCTGAATTTCAAGGGGATGGATAAGGGCCCTGGGGTCAGAACGTTGCCTGTGTATTTTAAAGGTTACCTTGCTATATATAGCTAAGGCTGGGTTCTCTTTGAAACCAGTCAGATGGGTCCTTGTTCAGTGAATTCCAGACTTCTCTTGTACAAAAAATAAAGGAAAAAAATCTTTGTTTTCTTCTTTGCAGGATTCATGAATAAAATTTTCCATCCCAACATTGACGAAGCGTAAGTAAATCCCCAGTGTGTGGGCTTCCTGAGGAGTTACCTAATTGTAACTGCATTTTGGCTTCACAGTAATAATGCTGATGAGTTGAATGATGCTTTCATCAACCTAAGAATCCAGCCTGGGGGATTTGATAGATGTGGATGTTGTCACAGGTTAACTTTCAGGAGTGGGTCAGGCCGTGGGTAACAGCAGGGAGCTGCATGCTGCAGATTCTCTTGCAGACATGGTCTTTGTATTGCAATGGGCTTCACTTAAAGAAAACTCAAGGTTGTAGTCCCCCTCCTTGTTGGCATCATGTATTTAAAGGGTGTCCCTCCTCTTAACCACAAGATAGGAGTAAATCACAGCTTATCTGAAAAACTGGCACAGGGTAAGGGGGGGAGTAGAGGATATTAAAACCCCAGAGTATTTCTGAGTGTGACTGTGTTTAATTCCATCCTTTCCATATGTTTCAGGTCAGGAACTGTATGTCTAGATGTAATCAATCAAACTTGGACAGCTCTCTACGGTGAGTTTGGCATTGCCCTGAAAGCACCTGACATGAACATCTATGTTTGGCATGTTAACACAACACAGCTTGCTGGAGACACATGAACTTAGGCCAGCTTTGGTTGTTTGGGTTTGGTGGGGGTTTTTACTCAAGTTTTAGGCTCCTCACTGAGGCAGGATCACCTGAAAAAGAATGTTTTCGCGTGATGGTACTTTTGTAAACTGTTTTTATGCCAGAAAGGCAAAAATATCCCATAAGCTTCACCAAGGATTGCTCAGTCCATTGCTTGGCATTGTCTGTCAACTGCACAACAGCACCCCACCATGATTCAGCATTGAAAGAATGACTGCATCTAAAGTAAACCTAGTTCCAGCTCCCCCATCCATGTTTTGCACATGCATTTGAGCTGGCATTCTTTGTGCACAAGGCTATGATTCTACTTGTGCAGAAGCTGGCACCAAAAACCATTCCTGTTTGTGATGGCAGCATCGTTTCCTTGCAGGCTGAGATGTGGGATTGCATCTCATGACTGTACTGCTTGCTGCAGGATGTTTTGGGTTTCCCATTAGGTCGTTTCTGGTTATAACTCTCCTTTTTAGAGGCATAAAAAGACCAGTTGGTAGCTGAAGGCCCATTAAAACAGCATTGAGGGCAAGCTGGATTTGTTCAAGGGAGTACAGCTGCATATCTAGCCTAGGTTGGCTTCGTTTAAATGCGAACTTCTTCAGGTCTTCCAATTCCGCTTTGTGGAAGAGAATCTGGGGAACGAGCACGTAAAATCCTTCCCCTTCTTCCATGAAAAGCTGATTTTACCTATGTATGTTGAAGCTTTGAAGCAGTTGCTAGAGAGACAAGCTGCTTTCCCTTCCTCGCCAGCCCAATTTGTAAGGGAATACCAGACTTGGTGAATCCTGGGTGGGAAATTGCTATAGCAACTTGTTGAACTTTACTCCTCATCTGAACACCTGAAATCCTCCTGTGGTAGATGCATGGCACACACTTCACATGGGTTTGTTGTGAGAGACCAGCTTAGCCATGACCCTGGTGGTGTTGCTAATGGACGAAGAGGATGCTCTTGTGTCCTGGAAGGGCCTGAGGCAGTTGTTAGCAAACCAAGCCCTCTGCTGGGGTTGAACCTGCATGAATCCAGCTCACTGCAGCTGGTGCTGCTGTTCCACAGCCTTGAATACCACCTGCGCATCATGGGGATGGCTGGACAGAACAAAATCACCCCAGTACAACCAGTGTGATGCTGGTTTTGTGCTCAGTTGGGTTCTGCTTTGGAAGCCATGCACAGATAACCTCCCTGTGCTGCAGCACGCTCTCACAGAAGGCCACAGTAGGGTTTCTGCACTATTGCCAAACAGTTCCATAGGAAGGCTTCCTGTGAGAGGTTTCCTAATGAGTGCTACTGTATTTTTGTCATCATTGCTCATAAAGGTAGAAGAAACCAGCTTGATATTTGCTGTGCTTGGGATGTATTCATATCAGCAAGCCTGCAAAACCCTCCTGCGTTTCTCCCTGTGATAGGTGTTTAGGCAGCTTGAAGGTGGAGAGCACTTTCCAAAGCAGCTGGTGAAACATGGCATTAGAAAGTGCATCACTTGACAGTCATCTCATTGCAAACATCCCTTGCCTTGCTGCAGGATGCCTTGAAGCTGCAGGGAGGACACTGGGGTGACTGCATTCTCTCTGCCCCTGCTTTTGGAAGACATTGACACTAGGGTACCTGTATCACCTCTTCACTTCCAGGGGTTTGCATCCTTATGTGACATAAGGAAATGACCCATTTCTGAACATGAAATGAAAATTGTAGAATAGTTTGGGGTGTAGGAACCCTCAAAGCTCATCTAGTCCAGTCCCTGCAATGAGCAGGGACATCTTTCACTAGATCAGGTTGCTCAGAACCACATTCAGCCTGGCCTGAATGTCTCCATGGATGGGGTTGATTTCTCCGGCCAGCCTGGGCCAGTGTTTTATCACCCTCATTGTAAAGGGGGAAATAATATTCCCCAGTGCCTCTCAGCACAGCTCTGTTTTGGAGAGTCACCCCTTCAAAACAGAGCACTTCTGTGCTTGCAGAGGATGTGGGTCAGATAATTCAAGGAGCAGTTAAGATGGAAGAGACCCAGAATAACCACTAATGAATTCATGAGGACCTCATGGTTAGATCCCTTGTACTTCCCTAATGAAGTCCTTAGTGCTGTGGCTGGGCTTCCTGCATGTGTTCAACTCGTTCCTGCTAAACCAGTGCTACTTTGGGGGATTTAAAAAGAGAATTATGAAGTCTCATAAAATCCCTGCAGTGTGTCCTGTGAACTGTGATGTCCTTCCAGGGTTTTGCTTACTCAGCCTATATGAGATCTTAGTTGTCTAATGGCCACAAAGAGGTACTTGATTTAAGCCTGCTCTGTGCAGAGGCTTGTCCCAAAGCAGGTGCTTTCACAAACTAAAGTCAACTTCTTGCTGACAGTGTCTGAACCCAATCCTAGGAGGCCTAACTGGTTTACCAAGGGCAAGCCACTGCCACAGCAGAAAATGTTCTTATAGAGTATACTCCCCATTTTTTGAGGCTCCTTTTTGCATTAGGATCCTTCTTACAGTTGCTGTTGTGCTTCATTGTAGAATGTGTGCTCTAAAGTGCTTCATCACTGTCCTCAGCCAATATTGGGTGGGCAACAGTTTATATATAGCAGAGATTTCAGGGTAAAATGGCCTAATTTCTTAGTGGTGTACCTGTATAGTGGAGACCAGCTGATCTCTCTCCATAGCAATCAGTGTCATTACTTCTTGGAATTGGGTGATGCATGCTCCTGAGTACATAAAGCCATGGTCTTTCCTCCTGCTCAGCAGGGTTGATGCTGAGTGGGTGACTGAAGTAGTCATAGCACGGTGTCTGTACACCCTGCATGTGTTGATGGAGGAGGGAGGAACTCACAAAACATCAAGTCTCCTTTGATCCTCTTAAGTAAGATCAAATAAGCACATCCTTTGGTAGATCTCTAGAGGTGGTAACATGGGGCAATAGCAAAGATCTGTCTGGACTTACTGTGCAGCTCTTCTGAGGCTGTATCTTCACTGGTGATGGAGTTAGAGCCTGGTTTTCTATGACTGCAGCCCAGAGCTGGACTAAATGCACTTGGAGATCTCTCCCCACCAACTGCCCACCCATTTGTGCCGACTCCTTTAGAATGTTAATGGCTCTGAGATCCCTGCCCACCATCAGAGCTGCTTGAATTTAGCAGCTCCAGGAGCTCAGCATTGTCTGGGCTTGGGAATAGTCACACAGCCTTGTTCCTGTCAGAGGTAGGTTGAGATGGCTGAGCTGCTCACATGGTGGATCCTGGGCAGTGTTGGGCTTCCCTTCTGATAGTTCCCTTTAGATCCATGCTGGATGGGACTTGTGATGCTCATCCAAAGCAGGGTTTCTCTGCTACCATGAAAGACTTTTTAATTAGGGAGGAAAGGGGGAATCCTGATAGAAAAATGTGTAGAATATCGATGAAATCCATTAGAAAACCCCATACAACAGAAGCTGCTCTGTCTCCATCAGCAGTTATCCAGAAGCTAAAGGGAAACCTGGCCCACAGCCCTGCCCTGGGGGTTTAATCTCGGCTCTGTGTGGGTGCCTGTGGTCCTCCTGAAGGCCCTGAGGAGGAATGATGATGCAGGGCTTCTTTCTGAACACCCCCACAACTCAAGTGTGGCCCTTCTCATCTTAGGGATATGGGAAGAGGGTTTCATGTATCCACAATTACTCAGCACCAGAAGTAAGTTTCCTGCTGTGGATTATTTATTGACTGGTGCCAACTGGCACCAAGGTGTTAATATGAGCCCTTCACATTCTGAGAATTGTTTTGAGTTTGGGGGGGGACTTGTTGGTTGCTCTTTCTAGTAACACAATTATCTAAAGCGCTCTGGAAGATGCTTTGTGCTCAGGATACATCAGTTTAGTCATCAGTACATCAGTGGTGCAGAAGACACGTAAAAACTTAATAGAAAGAAGCAGAAGACGTCAATGAGGGATGAAGCACAGCGCTGCTTGTTTTACCCTTTTTTAAAGCTAGGACTGAGCTTCAATGGAAAAACAGGATACAATTGTGCCCTTCTGCTGCTTTGCTTAACCCCTAAATATCTATATTGACCTCATAGCAGCCTTCCAGTATCTGAAGTGGGGGGGCTACAAGGATGCTGGACAGGGACTCTTCATCAGGGACTGTAGCAATAGGACAAGGGGTGATGGGTTCACACTGAAACAGAGGAGATTTAGGTTACAGATCAGGAAGAAGTTCTTTATTTTGGTGGTGCTGAGGTGCTGCACAGGGTGCCCAGAGAAGCTGTGGCTGCCCCATCCCTGGCAGTGTTCAAGGCCAGGTTGGACACAGGGGCTTGGAGCAAGGTGCTCTAGTGGAAGGTGTCCCTGCCCGTGGCAGGGGTTGGAACTGGATGAGCTTAAGGTCCTTTCCAGCCCAGACCAGTCTGGGCTTCTGTATCTCCATTGTTGGGATGCTGAGTTCGGTACAGTTAGCTGAGCTGCAGCATTCCTCCAGCAGGAGCAGCTCTCTTACCAACCATGTCTGTGCTTTCCAAAACCATTTCCTTTCATTCTGACTTGTGCCCAGCTTTTCAGTGTGCTTGCAGCTTTGTGCTGCTGTGTCAGTGCAGGCTGATGGATGAGGCTTACTCTGAGGCTATGTCTGTGTCTTTTGCTTGCAGATCTCACCAATATATTTGAATCGTTCCTGCCCCAGCTGCTGGCCTATCCCAACCCTATAGATCCTCTAAATGGTGATGCTGCAGCCATGTACCTCCACCGACCAGAAGAGTACAAACAGAAAATTAAAGGTAGGTGCATAAATGGCACATTGTGGTGTGAATGGTATTGCTGTGATTCCACCCTGAGGGAGTGAGAGCTGTCTTTGCTGCCTGTTTGTGTGTCAGTGCCCATTCCTTCCCATTGCAAAGGTCTCATCCATTTTATGTGGGGTAGTCTGAAGTAAGGGGTAGATGAATCACTGCAGTATGTGGGGCAGGGGTTTAAATCATAGCAGACCCTAAGCAGGGAAGGCTGTGAGCAAACTGGGTTAGAATTCAACATGATTTTGAAAGATGGAAGAAACAATTAGGAATAAGAAGTATGTGACTGAAGAAGGGACAGGGGAAAGGGCTGAACTTAAATGGGATCATCCACCTGCACAATTAATGGATAGAAAGTGGCATGGAAAGTGATCTGAGAGCAGCAATAAAGGAACTGGTGGTGCTGTTGCAGAGAGCACTTTTGTACTGTGACAGAGCAGGTGTTTTAGGTACAAAGCAAGTAATCATTCCTTAGTACTTCTAGTCCAGCAAGGGCTTACCAGGGCTGTGCCCACTTCAGGGGCTGCCATTTAAGAAAGCTGCAGAGCAGTGAAGTCTGGTAGAGTATAACAATTAGAGAAGGGTTCATGGAAACCTCAGAGAAGCTTCCAGTGTCTGGACGGGACCTACAGGGATGCTGGAGAGTGGCTCTTCATCAGGGACTGTAGTGATAGGACAAGGGGTGGTGGGTTCAAACTGAAACAGGGAGATTTGGTTTAGATATAAAGAAGAACAGAGCTTGGAGCAACCTGCTCTAGTGGAAGGTGTCACTGCCTGTGGCAAGGGGTTTGAACTGGGTGAGCTTTAAGGTCCTTTCCAACCCAAACATTATAAGAAAGGCAGAATGTCTTGAAGATGTGTCTTAAGAAGACAGAGGGAAAGAATTGGAGGGGTTTAATCCAGGGGTTATGACCTTTGGTGTGTCAAATGTGCCTTCAAAGAAGAAGGGAATGATTTATCTTGTGATCAGTGTGAGCAGGATGTGGTCACAGGTATTTAATTTAACTCAGCTGGGGGAACCTAGGCTAAACATTAACAGTGACTGGTGAGGGCAGGTGAGTGCTGGCAGAGCCAGTGAGGGTACTCCATGTCTGCTACTACAAGAATTGGAAGGGCATGTTAGACAAGTCAGTACCTCCTTGGGGTCAGGCAGTGCTCCCAGTAAGGACTCTCAGGTACTTTGGATAAGCCTGGTGATAGGACAGTCCTAGTGAGCTGGTAAATGAGAAACAAATTAGTCTTGCAAATGTAAGAAATAAGGTAAAAAATGAGAATTGTGTTTTAAATTTGTGCCTTCCCTAGAATCAGCTGCCTGCAGAGAGGAGCAGGGCACCAATTCTCACAGCCTGAGAGAGCTGGGCTGGTTCAGCCTGGAGAAGAGAAGGGTCCTAGGGTCCTTAAGGGGAGACCTTAGAGCAGCTTCAGTGCCTAAAGGGACTACAGGAAACCTGGAGAGGAGCTTTGGACAAGGGCCTGTAAGGAAAGGACAAAGGGAATGGTTTTAACCTGCCAGAGGGGAGACTGAGATGAGCTCTTAGGCAGAAGCTCTTCCCTGTGAGGGTGCTGAGGCGCTGGCACAGGGTGCCCAGAGAAGCTGTGGCTGCCCCATCCCTGGCAGTGTTCAAGGCCAGGTTGGACACAGGGGCTTGAAGCAAGCTGCTCTAGTGGAAGGTGTCCCTGCCCATGGCAGGGGGTTGAAACTGGATGAGCTTTAAGGTCCCTTCCAACCCAAACCAGTCTATGATTCCTTTATGTGGCAGCTTGTGGCAAAGCCATGGACTTCAGTTGCTCCCTGATCCAGTGAACACAATCAGCATTTCATGTAGTGGGAAATTTACACCCTTTGGCCCACATTTAGGCTTCCACTAAGTTTTTAAGGGGCCATGACTGCCTGATTCTTGTTTCTGTTACTCAATAACCGTAAGGCTTGTTTGCCCACAGGAGCCCTGCCAGGAGGGTTTGTAGATCAACAAGTACAGCCTCCATGAGCCACACAATCCCATAGTCTTCCCAGTGTGAGGTGGGATAGCAGCTTTCCTACCAGCATTGTGTTTGGAGAACTCGGGTATCCCAGGAAGAAATGGGATTTGGTGATGGAGGCTCTGCCACGTCACTCTGGAGTGATTAAACCTCGGGTCACTCTGTTCTGATGCAAAATGACTCTTCAGCAGCAGCAATTTGTTTGTGGGTGGAACTCCAAATGAGGCCAAGCAAAGCTGTGATTTAAAGGCTGAGTTATTCAGCCCACTTTGCTTGACTCCTCTGACAGCTGCATGACAGGAGCATGAAAACCACCCTGCAGATCTGGCCTGCTCAGTATCCTGAAGTCCACTGCTGCTTGTTCCATATGAAGACGCTTCCAGGCAGAAGGGTTTGTCAGATAAAATCCCTGGGGCAAATACAAGGGACGCTTTGGGTGTCCTCTCTGCTTTAATGAAACAGGGATAAAAGAAGATATACCCCTAAATAAGCAAATCAACTGATGCTAGCAAGAGCAGAAGCTCGGGGCAGATCTGAGGACATCCCTCAGGGAGGCTAAATGGGGTAGTCTGCTCCATCATTTCCCTCCTGACAGCCGGGTATAGGCTCTGAAGATAATCTGGAAGGAGCTTTAAGTGCTTGCAACATGTCTTGTGTTCCATATACCCCAGAGTCCTGCCTCTTCTGTCTATTCCCAAGCTTGCGTGCCAGGAAGAAGATAGAGCTCAACACCGTCATCCCTCATCTTGTAGCATGTATAAAAATAGCCTTGGACATGCTAAAATTGATGCACTGGGTTGTAGCAGCTTCTCTGCTCAGGGAAACTCAGTAGTGCAAATACATAATTTATTGCTGCTTTTCCTCATTTTTTAGTGATGAGCACATAGAGCAGTTGTTTGACATGGTTGTTTGATGGGTAGAAGCTTAGAGATGTGGCACAGGATTTGTAGTTGCTGTGATTGTTGTTGATGTGAGACCCAAACAAGTGAGGATTTGCCATGCAACTTGTAAATGTCCATTAATATTACCAATACAAACTGTGATTGGGCTTCGACTACATAAAACCAGCTCAATATTCATGTTGAGCTGTTGGGAATTGGTGCTTAACTCCCATGTCTGCTGCTTTGCTTCCTCTTTGATAGATCCAACATGGAAACTTCCCTTGGGAGGGTGGTGGTGGCAGCTTGAAGGGTGCTGAGGGGCAGGCTGGGTGTTTGCAGGGAGCAGAGGACACCTCTGGGAGCAGTCCTCCTGTCCCATGTGCCAGCTGTGGAGTTCCAGTGGAGTCCTTCGAGACACTAGTATGGCTCACTGGCATGTACCAGCCATGGGGCATAACCACAGCTTGTGCTTGTTGCTCCAGGGTTCTAAACCAGCTGAATCCAAGTGGTGTTTCCCTGGGAGGAATGGTTTTATCAAGGCTTTCCCTTACTGAGCCTGCTTCTGTAGAAGACAGTTTATCAGTATTTAGATATTTTGGTTTTCTTAGAATCCTAGAGTGGTTTGGGTTGGAAAGGACCTTAAGATCATCCAGTTCCAACCACACACACAATAACCTTCCCTGGATAAGCAGAAGATCCAGGTTCAGCACAACATTCAGCACAGAAGCTCCCTGGAAGTTTGATGTTTCCCACTCTAAACCTTCTAAAAAAACCCAGCCCAGGAGCTTGTTGCTTTCCTGGGTAGAAGATAGCACTTCTAAAGTGCTTCAGGTTGTGGTTTAGCTTAGGTTCAAGCAGGCCTTTTCCAACAGAGACAATGGCTTCCAAATCTCCAGTGGCCCAGAGAGCACTTGAAGCAGTCAGTGAAGAAGTCTCTTGTGCCAAGGTCATGGCTGTGTCTAATGTGTTTGGGGGGGTGACAAGGCAGCTACAGCATTTGTTTTGGTGCCTTTGGGGTAAACATACAGGGAAGGTTCCCACTAAGGGGTTGTCTTTGTCATCTGAGGACATCTAGAGTGTTGCAGCAAAGGCACTTGGGTTCCCTTTGCTTTACTGTGCAAGGAATAAACTTCTCTGGGTAACCAGCCCTTTTCCAGAGGGAAGATCAGAAAACTGTGGGAAGGGAGTAGCCCCTACAAGGATATGTCATCTCAGCATCCCATCTCCTTAGCTCTGCTTGTCGCCTACTGCCAACCCAGCTTCCCATGTAAATTCTCTGAAGACATGCTGCTTTTTGGGATGCCTCCTTCAGTTGGTTCCTCTCATCTTTAAACCAATTGGGTCTGTCACTCCAGTTCCTCTCACTTTGCAGTATCCAATGCTAGGCAGATGTTTCCTGCCCTACACTCTGCAACTTCTGTTCTCCAGTACAGGCAGGAGGTGGGATCGGGCTCAATGGTGACATGGGCAGCACCTTCCAAAGGGGTTCTCAGTGGCCAGAACCTGAGGATGGAGCACAGAGGTGCTTTTCTGTTTGATACTGCACTGCAGCCTGAGAGCAATCCAAGACCTTGAGCATTCCATGCTTCCCAGTGTTTACATAGCTGCCTTCAGTGCTTTATCAGTACTTAACAAGTTCTTGGAAACCCAATTTGAGCAGCTGTTTCTGTGGTCGGAGTGAGCAGGTCAGTCGTGTAGATCAACCACTCCGACCAAGGCCAAGTGTGTCAGCAGATGGAGAAGCTGAAGCTCAGAAACACCTTCCAGCTTTTCCAGGGTGGAGCGGCTCTGCCAAGGCCACCAGCTGCTGCATCCTGGGAGCTCCTCCATAAAGTGCTGCCTTTGGGTTGCTTTGGTCACGCTATGCTCCTGAAGCTGGATTAACACATCTGGGCTCCGAGTCCGTACATCAGCTCCAGAAATGTGGGAAAACTCCACGGTGATGCAGACCTATTGGAGAGTATCCCGTAGGCTGAAGGATGGAAGGGCAGAAGGAAGGAGGGACAGCTTTAGGCTGTGCAGCGTGCACTCTTTAAAGCCTGTGTTGTAGCACTTGGTTATCTGGCATTAGCTATGCCCTCCTGCAGCTTTGCCAGTGCATCCACATGCTGATAGAGTATGGAATGAAAAATGCAGTGATCTGTGCTCCTGGAGGAGAGGTGCTTGCTCCTTGTGGACCTCATTCCCTGGGAGGAATTAAAGAGCATACAGTTGAGATGGCTGCTGGGCTGGCGGTGGGATGTGACACTGACATTTCCATGCAGGGGCTCATTTTCAAGGGCTGGTGCTATTCCCTTTTTCCCCAGTGAGCCCAGTTTTGTGCCAGGCTTTCCCCCTCGCTTCGTTCTGCAGGCCTGCATGCCTGTAAGAAACAGGCTTTCTCTGCTCAAGGTGGGATCACCAGCCCCTGCTTGGATCTCAGAGGGGATGCTGGGAGCTTCCTGCAGCCACAAAGGGAGGAAAGGGATTGCCAGACTCACTCTGACCTGACCCACTTTGTGGTGCCTCTTTGTTCTGTTCCTCTGCACAGAGGTGACCACACAAGCCACACTTGGCAGCAGTTACTTTACCTGCTTCAGGAATCCCAGTAAACCAGTTTTCCTGCTTGCTGTACAGCTTCCTGCTTGCACCTGGCTGGAGTTCAAGGTGTTGAAGTGGGTGCCCAGAGCCAGTGTGGTTTAGACCCTGCTGTGAGACATGGTTTCCATGGGTCACCTACAGTGAGGTGGCCCTGGTTCCCTGCAGGTTTTTCTCAGCTAATCCTATTGCTGCTCTCTGATGTGAAGCAGGTTGCAAGAGTTGTGCTTTGAAAACAGAGCCTGGGGCAGAGCCATGTTTATTTGGGGGCTAAATAAATAAATGCAGCTATTCCTGCAGTAGACATCATCTCTGCTTTCTGTGTCCATCCTTCTTTACGCTCTGCTTATGCAGACTTTAGTCTGGAAGCTTAGTCTGACTCTCAACTTGGTTTCAATGATGGTTGCTCTGCCCTATCAGTTTAAACCCTCAGATACTCATATCTGAAAGTCAGGCTCTATAGTGACACCTTGCTGGCTTTTAGGCTTGTTCTGTAGGTTCCCATTGTAGCTCCTATTTTGGCAGTAAATCAGATGCTGTCCTGTTAAGTGAGATAACACCATCCCAGGGAGGACTTAGGTTGTGTCTAGCTACAATTATACATGATGCTGATGTAGGGGCTTTGGGATCATATTTGTTCTCAAGGGTCTTGCATGTCTTTAAGGTCTCCATCAGCTGTTTTCACATGTTGTTGTGCTGCCTTTGGTCTAAGAAATATGGGTATCTGTGACCTATCAAACACGATGTGCCCCAGCCCAGCTGTTAGTCATAGTTCATTCATCCTCTGACTGTTGAATATATGCTGCTTACGTGTGTTTTTTGTCTTCTGTCACACACAGAATACATTCAGAAATATGCAACAGAAGAAGCACTAAAAGAACAGGAAGAAGGCACCGGGGACAGCTCATCTGAGAGCTCCATGTCCGACTTCTCGGAAGATGAGGCTCAGGATATGGAGTTGTAGTAAAAGAGGCAACCTGATTTTTGGAGAGACTCTTAATTTCCTAACCATAAGAAGCAGACTATAATATTCATATTTAAACAAAGCAATTTTTTTTATTACTAAACAAGGTTTTTATGAATAATAGCATTGAGATATATATATCACCCTTTAGATCTTGATTTTCTTGGTCATTTCTCGAACCCGAGGTGCATAGCATATTCCCACATTCCATTTTGGTAGCAATATGCAGCCCGAATGCATGCATTCAGATTCCGTTTGGCCAAGTCGACTTGTGTGCTACTAAACTGTCAGCTAAAACAGCTGCCCTGGTAGGTAGGGAGTTAGTCAAAAGAGATGTTTGCTTTCTTTATCAGAGGTTTCCAAAGACACCACCTTGGATGCTAACGTGGAGCAGCATTTTCTCAAAGCCTAAAGTTTGGGGGATGATACACTTAAGCGTGTAGATCAGACAGTGGAATCAAAAGGTGCTCCTTCAGGTCAACCTTGCTGATCCTCGCATTAAAAACCCCATCAGAGAGAATACAAATGCGTGGAGCTATTGAGAGCATTGAAGCTTAAATTAAGTTGACTTGGATTTGAAGGCTGTTTTTTCCTCTGTGGACTCCTGCCTGCCCTTCGGAACTGTAGGGACTGACAACCACTGGTCTGTTTGCTTTTTGGGGACTTTAGAAAGCCTTTCGTCTGGATGTTCCTCACTTCCTTGGTGTGGATTACCAGCTGTTCCCTTTGTGGGAGGAAGAAAAGCAAGAAAGAACAACACAAACCACAAGTGATGCTCTCTGAACAGTGCTTTGATTTAGCTGGAGCACATCTGAAGTCAAAACTCTTCCTTTGTCATAGTTTTGGAACTGCTGCCCTTTAATGGCTTCGAGATTGCTTTTTTTTTGGGGGGGGGGTGGTGGTGGTGGTTTATTTTCTTTCTCTTGCTTGAAGTATGGTTAAACACCTCGCAAGCACTCTCCATCTCCTAAGAGAGGGTCCTCTGACCAGATGGATTAGCCTGGCTGAGAGCTTCGGATCCACGGCGATTGGCCCCATTGGCTGTAGTCCACGAATCCATCGGCACTGGTTTCTGTTTTCCTTTTTGCCTCCCCCTTCTGCACCAGCTTGGTAGCCATCTGCTTGTGTGTGTACAACAGGATTAAAGTTCCTTTAAGAGTTAACAAAAGAATATGATCTAGAAAGATAATTGAGATGAATAAAAGAGCCTAAAAGCACCCGCTGAGGAAGCAAAGTGAATCTGCTCTGGTTTGTTTTGGGGTTTGGTTTGTTGTTTTCTTCTTTATTCCAGGATGCTTCCGACTTGGAATGTTTTGAGTTTCTCCTGGTGTCTTGCAGCAAGCTGAGATTTGTGTTTGGTTTAATGCTCTGAAATCTAATCTAGTAAATGTCTACCTGGCGTGCCAGTGTAACTTGATTTTGGATCATTGTACACTGGAGATTGGAACTGAAGCTGGATTCCTTTAAAGCCGAATGTTACCTGCTGTATTCTTTTGGGGGGTGTTGTTTTGGACAAGGTGTTTTGATTCGTGGCGCAACCAGCATGGAGAAATGAACCCACCCACCCTGAGCAGCTCTGGAGCAGAGTCTGGAACGTCACATTTGTTCCTTTGTTGTTCTCCCAGAATGATTGGGGGTTTATTTGGGATTTTTCTTTAGGAATGCCACCAAGTCGGGGTTGGAAGGTCACAATCCTATTCCTGCTTCATAAAGCACAATCAATTCCTTTTTCTTTGGGGTGTGGGGGGGGGGGAGTTGGGAGGGAAGAAAAGAAACAACTCATAAAGTACCACTTTTGCTTTAGCATGATTTTCCTTAATAAAACCCTACAACCAAATCCTTTCTGTTAATGATGGGCATGAAGCAAAGGTTTTTATTTCTCCCCTCCCTTCCCCCCCCCCCCCTTTTTGATTTTAAAGCAGTAATGTTAGGGCTGTGGCTAGTGACTGTGCTGAAGTTTTCTATCTAGCATTTGTGGCTTGTGGGAAGGGTAATATTAACTATTTAACATGTTATGGTGTCCTTAACTCTTATCTAGCACGCTGTTGTTCTCATTACTTTGGGGAGGGAGGGGCCAGGGTTTGCTGGCACTGTTTAACTTGCTTACCTGCTGCCCTAGCAGTTTGCTTGTGCTATAACCTTTACTTGTAGGTGCTACTTAGGAGTAGAGTTCAGTGCTGGGTGGTGATTGCAGTTTCAAAGATTAAAAAGGACAAAAAACCACAATAAAAATTTGTATTTTTTCAATATTGTATAAAAACAGTGTTCTAATTACCCCCTCCTTCCCCCCCCCCCCCCCCCTTCCAGGTTGTGCTTCCCCATGGCAATGGCCACGGGTTTCCTGCCTGTGTTTGGGACCTATCGGGTGATGCTTGAAGAGATCCCTGGGGTGTTTTGCCCTTTAGGCACCTCTTTGAGCTTCCTTTTATCCTCTTCTTCTTGTGTTGGTGCTGTAGCGTGGGCACATCAGTCACCCTACAGCAGCGTTCCATCCCCTAACGTGGAGTTATCCACTTCCTGTTGGGGTATCCATGCTCTGCTAAACAAGGATTCCTCCAAAATAAACCCACCAGGAACGCTGCAGCTTTGCCACGATTCCTGCTCTGGGTGCACAGATGCAGCAGGGATCACTGAGCTTGTCCAGGCACTGTGGACTGGGGGCTCAATAGGTCCAGAGTCACAAACAATCATACCCCGGCTCTTCCCAACATTCCCAAGTGCTGGAAACACTGCAGCGGGTAGTGTGGGGTAATCTCAGCTACCCAAATGCTGCTTGTGAAGGATGTCAGTCCTGGATGTAAGGTGTTTTTAGGGAATGGTGTGGAGCGGGCTTCATGTTGCAAGCTGGGAGCACTGCTTCCAGCCCCATTGCGCCTTCTGCTGCTTCTCCATCATTTCCCACCTCTTTTATCCCCGAATTGTCTTTCTCCCAAAAGAAACTTCCCTGTTTGTAACTCCCAGCTGCACTCACATAACCTGGAATGGAAGGTGGAGCCCTGCTGCAGCAAGGTAGCTGCTCTTTTGGGTCATTTGGGGGTTTTCTCCTTCAGACAACAGTGTTGGTGTCACCCTGTGCCCTGTCCGGGTGATGGGGCACCCATGATGGATCCCAGGTTGAGTTGCCCATTACCACAACTTGTCCCAGCCCCTCGGTGCTGGTTGGAAACAGCCTTTGGCTTCTGTTCCTGTCGTCTCTCCTTCGGCAGTGAGGTGTTTGAGTGCCATGAAGAGCTGAGCACCAGTGTCCCTCAATGGTGGGAACTGGTGCTTTGGGGCTGTGCAGAGGTCTTCCTCACCGGTGGGCACTGAAGGATGCCGGTGTGCAGGGCTGGAGCAGAGCTTTGCCATCAGCCCAGTGTCTGTGTCCATGGTTGAACTCAACCCATCCTTTAACACACACCATTGAGACAGTGCTCCCCTTCCATCCCGTTTGCTGCATGTCCCCCATCAGCAGGGACCCTCCTCAGTGACCATCAGGGAGGCATTTGATCACTTCTGCTTCTATTTCATCCTCCTTTCACCCTTCTCACCCAAGTCCTGCTGGTGCTTCCGCAGGCTGCCAGCAGCAGAGCAATGGCCATGGGTTCCCTGCCTGGCTTGGGACCTGTCCGGTGATACTTGAAGAGATTCGGGGTGTTTTGCCCTTTGGCACCTCTTTCATCCTCTTTCTCTTGCATTGCTGCTGCAGCGTGGGCCCCGCAGCCGCCCTGACCCCATCAGAGGATAACCCCCAGCAGCAGTGTACAGTGAAAGACCTGTAACCCTTTGCTGTGTAAAGCATGTCTATACCCTGACACCCGCCTGGTGTTTGGCCACTGGGGCTTGCAGGGGAGACCCTGAACCCCGTGGCGTTGACTCCGCATCCCATGGCCCGTGAATTCCCGCTCGAAGCCTGCCTTCTGCCTGGAGATGGAAGTAGAGGTGGTTGTGCACACCCAGTGTGGGGCTTGCGGTGACCAGCTCCTTGTCCAGCCACCTGCAAGCAATTGGGTGCTGTCCTTCCATGCGCCATCACCACGGCCCTGGCCCCAGAGCTGAGTGTTAGGGTGTTGGGCTGGAGATGAGGGATCAGCTCATCCGTGAGCATCCATCCTCCACCCACGGCCTCCCAGGCTGGGTTTCTCTCTATGCAGCGGGACAAGTCATTGCAGGGAACGCTGCCTGAGATGCTGCCGTCATGGGAGCTGTGTCTGGGGACTGTGGCAGAGGTGGCTGCTTCCTGTGCGATCACACATCCTTTCGGCTCGCTGTTGTTGGGGATTGGGATCACGGATACACGGGCAGTGGGAACAGCCCCAAGGACCCCCGAGCTGCAGTTCTGGGGCTATGGCTGAGCCAGGGAAGGGGCCAGCGCCCTGCCATGTCCCTCGTCCCCATCCTCCTCCCCGCCTAGGGCCGTTTGTCCCCGCAGCACCCAGCCTGGGGACAGGGCGGCGGCTCGGCGCGGTGCCAGTGCCATCTGCTGCCAGCACCCAGCCTGGCACCCAGCACCCCCGGGGATGCCGGGGACAGGGGATGGGGACGTCCTGGGGCAGCCATCGCTATGGGGAGGGAGCAGGCGGGGGGGGGGGGGGACAGACACCCCTTTACCCTCCATCCCTGCATCCACCTCTTGCAGGGGGCTCTCAGAGCCAGCGGGGGGTGGCGCTGCCCCCTCTGCCCAGCAGGTGGCCCCCGTGCCCCACCGCAGCCTCCCGCTGCCCAGTGCGGGGTGGAGCAGGACCCGGCTCTGGGTGCCCTCTGCAGCGGCCCCATCGCTGCTCTGCCCCTTGTCCCCTGTGTGCTCGCCGCCAGCCGCTGCCCCAAACATCCTCCCGTGGGCCTGGCCAGGCTCACACAGGGTACAGGAGGTGGGGGCTGCTTGTGTGTGTGTGGGGCGGGCAGTGCTGGGGTGATGGGGGAGACTGGGACCAGGGTGCTGCTCCCTGGAGCATCCAGGGGCCTCACCCTGCCCTGTTTGTGCTGATGCTGAAGGGCACCAAAGGGCAAAGCCCTGAGCCAAGGGACCCACCAGGAGCTCAAGGCACCACCAGGCGCTGGGTGCCATCTCACAGGGTTCTGAGCACCCTTCCCCATGGGGGTTTGGGTGCCGTCACTGTGGGGCTCTGGTTACCTTCCCCATGGAAGGGGCTTTGGGTGCCATCCCCAAGAGACTCTGGCTGCTACCACCGTAGGGCTCTGGGTGCCATCCCCAAGGGTCCTGGGTGACATCCCTGCGGAGCTCCACGTACCTTCCCTGTGAAGCTCTGGGCGCCATGCCCAAGGGGCTTTGGGTGCCATCTCAAAGGGGCTCTGGGTGCTACCCCCCATAGAGGTCTGGGTGCTATGCCCATGGGCCTCTGGGTGCCGTGCTCCAGAGGCTTTGGGTGCCTTCATCGCAGAGCATAGGGTGGCATCCCTATGGAGGTCTGGATGCCGTTCCCAAGGGCCTTTGGGTGCAATTCCCATCCGACTCTGGTTGCTCTTACCAAAAGGCTTTGGGTACCATTCTTGTGGGTCTCTGCGTTTCATCCCCACAGAGGTCTGGGTGCTCTCCCCAAGGGGCTCTGGGTGCTAAACCCCATCACGCTCTGGTTGCCCTCATCACAAGGCCTTGGGTGTCATCTCCAGGGGGGTGTGGGTGCCATCCCCAAGGGGCTCTGGGTGCCATTCCCAAGGGACTATGCGTGCCCTCATCACAAGGCATTGGGTGGCATCCCTGTGGGGCTTTGGTTGCTACCCCCATCATGCTCTGATTGCTTTCACCAAAGTGCTTTGGGTGCCATCCCCATGGCCACACAGCCCCTGTGATGGATGGGGACAGGCGCTCAGGGCTCTGGTCCATGGGGTGAGCGGGGTCTTCCCTCCCATCCTGGCTTTATCCACTGCAGGAACCACTGCAGGGGACCCAAAGGGACCTTGTGGGGTGCAGCACATCCCTTGGGACACCACCACCGCGGGTTACAACCCTGGGGAAGGGATGGAACGTGCACCTCCGAGCACCGAGGTGGGGCCACGCTGGTGACCCCAAGGCCCCGGGGGACACCTGAGCCCGCTCCGGCTCCGGTTACGCGCCGGATTGTTCCTCCCGGCTGGAAGAAATGGCGTCAGCGCCGGCGGATCGGTGGCCATTACTAATGCATGATGCTCCCATGGGACACGGCTGCATCCGACCCCTGCAGCGGCTCCCCCCCCCGGGCTCTCTGCACCCCTCGGGGAGGGCAAGAGGGATGGAGCCAGGGCTGGGGAAGGGCCTGGCTCCCTCTTTGCTTCCTGCAGGCCCTGAGCATCACCTTATGCTGGTGCTGGATGTGCCTGGGCAACACGTGGAGCGTGAGCACGGTGTCGTGATGCCAAATGGAAGGGTGCCGGTACCCCTGCCGCATCCCAGGGGACCAGGAGCGGTCCTGCAGAGAACAGTCACAACTTGGTGCATGTTTGCTGGCAAAACCCTCTGGTTTTCCCCATAACCCGTGATTTTGACCCATTCTTCCCATTTTGCTCCTTCCCAGTTTTTAGCTCTTTTTCCCAAACTCCCAGTTTTCCTCTCCCCATCTGAGCGCGATGATGCCGACCCAGCAGCTCCATCCCAGACCAAGATTCCCCACAAAGCCAGGGTTATCCAGCCGACCGGGGTGGGATGCTCATCCCTGCACATCCCACCTCGGGATGACAGCCACCAGGATGAACAGCGACAACCTCCCCACCCCTGAGCTTCACCCCATGGGGTCTCATGGAGGGGGGGGATTTAGCCAGCTCCAGCCTCCCCAGTGCCATAAACCATTCCAAGGAGGTCTCCTTGACTAATGTGCTCCGGCTGCGCTCCCGCATCCCGACACATCAATATTGCATTAGTGTTTCCATCCCCCTCTGAGCCCGGCCCGGCGCCATGGAAAGGAGCTTGTCCAGGTCCTCATGCCAGTGGGACGGCTCTGCCCAGCCCCCCGACCTTTCCAGAGGCTCTTCCAGGTCCATCCACATCCAATATTCGGGTGAGGAACAGAAGAAGTTGATGTAAATGTTTAAACAGGGCCATTTGCGCCGCTCGGTTTACGCAGGATGAGGCCTCCACCTGGTTTGGCTCCATGAGGAGCCCAAATATTGATGGTGCTGGAGAGAAGGATGAGCTCAGTGCTGGGAGGGGGGCCACATCGTGCTTGGACCTTGGACCCCTGGTCATGGGGACCATCCCAGGTGCCTCCTTGCTTGGGGACCATCCTAGCTCAAGATGTCCCTGCTCACTGCAGGGGGTTGGACTGGATGGATGA